AGGTTAAAGCGCTTAGGGCTCTTTAGCTTGGAGAAAAGACGACTGAGGGGTGACATGATCGAGGTTTATAAGATTATGCATGGGAAAGAGCAGGTAAAGAAAGAGGTACTTTTCTCCCTTTCTCACAATACAAGAACTCGTGGGCACTCCATGAAACTGCAGAGCGGTCGGGTTAGAACGGATAAAAGGAAGTACTTCTTCACCCAAAGAGTGATTAACACATGGAATTCACTGCCACAGGAAGTGGTGGGTGCTACAAGCATGGACGGCTTCAAAAGGGAATTAGATAAGCATATGGAGCAGAGGTCCATCAGTGGCTATTAGCCACAAGGTATAGCTAGGGGCTCTGGGGCAAGTGATGCTCTGTCTTCTTGGTGCTTGGGGGGGGGGTCAACAGTGGGAGGGCTTCTAATGTCCTGGCCCCACTGCTGGACCTCCTGATGGCACTGGTATTTCTGGCCACTGTGTGACACAGAGTGTTGGACTGGATGGGCCTTTGGCCTGATCCAACATTGGCGTCTCTTATGTTCTTATGTTCTTATGTTCAGTATCTAGCCTTCCAGGGGACAGTCAGAGTTGATTTCTTTTAGGATTGACTGATTTTATCTCCTTGCAGTCCAAACGACTCTCGAGTCTTCTCCAGCACTATAATTCAAAAGCACCTATTCTTTGGTGCTCGGCCCTCAGCTCATCTTGTAATGTCTAATAAAGGTTGATGTTGTTGACCAAGTGGCTATCTTGCAGACCTCTTCAACTGTAGCGTGTCTAGCAAAGGCTGCATTGGTTGTGGCACTTTGCACTGAATGGGTGGTGATCCCATTTGGTATGGGTAACTTTTGAACTTTGGTTGTGGTCAGACGTGAAGTTTGATCTGGTGTGGCCTCGCTCTAATTGATCCAGGTTTTTTGGAAATGGAGAGTTTTGATCAGACCTCCCCCCTTAACCCACTTCAATGTGCTTTCACCCCCTGGATGATTGATCAGACACAGTAGCCACGAAGTGGGGTGGTCAGGCAGTTTTAAAAAATCATTTGTCTTTTGAGCATGCACGTAAGCGCTTCAAACTCCTGGCAGAATAGCGGCAGCTTGTGGCCAATGGGATTGCTGGAGGAGGCTGCTGGGATATGAGTTCAGTGTGAAGGAAGTGTTTTTGAAACTGTGCTTTTGATAAATTCAACATTTCAAATGTTTCAAAGCTGGAGTGGGGACAGAATTGAGAAGCCTCATCCTGTGTCCTGCAGGTGTTTTTATTTAAAAGCCTGGAGCGAAGTTGGAATCACAGGCATCATTCTCAGACTGCATGCCTCCTTCTCTGAAAAAACTCATCTTTTCAATTAACCCCTTCCCCATCCCATGGCTGGAAAGAACAGAAAAAAGTACACAGGCGCCTTTCTTTGGAAGTTTTTTTAAAAAGGAAAACATAGTTTTGAGCAGCTCCTCTGTGTGTGTGTGAGACTACATGCGTGTGAGAGAGGGAGGTGCAAATACGCAGTTATGTGCACCTCACTAACTGCCTTAAAAAAAAAAAAGCCCCAAAGCGGAAGGGAACATTCAGACATCCCAAGCAGCTTGAGAATATGATGGATTGATCAGACATCTGGAAATGTGAGGTAAAATCCCATGCATCAGGAAGGACTGGCCTTTCCCCAGTGTCAAATAACTCAGTTTGGAGGATGGGTGAGAATGGGATGCTGACCACTGGAGAATAGGAGACAGATGTTGCTGTTTGATTTGTGCATTTTAAATCTGGAAGGGAACAGCAACAACACCAAATCAAACAGCTTGTCTGATTATAAGCTTCGATAATGCAAGCCTTAAGAGTGTTGCTGATTGCTGATCTTGACATCTTTAGACCTTATTTAGGTGGAGAGATTGAAATGAATGATGAATTCATTTTCCTAATATGTTCCATCCTGCCAATTAGTTCCTTTAGTATGTGTTGCATGTCCAATGTATGCCATAATCTTTCTTTAGGATGAATGGGGTTTGGGCAGAAAGAAGGAAGGCAAATCTCCTGGGATCTATGGAAAGTCGAATTCACCTTTGGTTTGAAAGAAGGGTCTATCTGCATGACCACTTTGTCTTTGTGGAAGATGTAGAGCTCAGGGTTAACTGACAAGGGTCCTGGTTCAGACACCCTCCTTGCTGATGTAACTGCTGTAAGGAATAGGGTTTTCATTCTCAGCCATTTCAGAAGAATCTCTTTGATGGTTTCAAAGGGATGTTGTTTAGTGAGAGCTGACAGCATGGTACGCAATCTCCATGTTGGGAATCTATGCACTTGTGGTGGGTCTTTTAAGGCTGGATCCTTAAGGAAATGTTGAATATGTAGGTGTCTGGATAAGCTCATTAGCGGAATGTCTTCTAGAAACTAGCAAGGTGTCTTATTACTTCCACTGAATAGCTAAGTTTTAAGAAGTTGTCCCGCTCAATCACCAGGCAGTTAAATGGAGCCACTGTGGATGGAGATGAAGCATGTCTGGAGCTACTAGGAGTGTTAGTGGTGGATGGATAGACAATTCCCGGACAGCGGAGAATCACTGTCATCGAGGCCAATACGGTGGCACTACTATGATTTCTGCCTTCTGTTCCCTGATCTTCCTGATCAATTTTGGAAGAACTGGCATGGGAGGGGGAAACAAACAGAATACCACTCAGCCACTGGGACATCAAGGTGTTGGTGGCTTTGGCTGCAGGATGGTAAAATCTGGTAAAGAAGCAGCTTGCCTGATAATTGGTTGGTGACGTGAAGAGGTCCACATGAGAAAGACTGAAGTGTGCAGTGATCAGTGGGAACAGGTACTTCAGGGACCATTCACCTTCCTAAATGATCTGCCAGCTGAGCCAAACTGCCTATGTGTTCATCGAGCCCTTCGTGTGTTCTGCCTTGATTAATGCCAGATTGTTCTCTGCCCATGCCAGGATTTTGATAGCTTCCTTGTGAAGCATTGAAGATCTGAATATTCCCAGTTCGTTGAGATAAGTCTTGGCAAATACATTGTGTGTTCTGATCAAGACATGTTGTCCAAATATTCAACTGTAGTAGGGCTAGATGAATTGCATGTAGTTCCAATAATTTGATGGGAAATCTTGTCTCACGGTTGGACCATTGACCCTGTACTGGTGAGTCTTCTAATATTGCTCCCCACCTGGACAGACTGATGTCCATGAAGATCTGTTTCACCACTGGAGTGCAGTATATCTTTCCTTGTAAAAGACTGGACATTCTTGTCCAACAGACAAGGCTGGTTTTCACTTTCAGGGGTACCCTGATTGCCAGGTCTTCCTTGTTCATTATTTGTGATTGGAAAAGTCTCAGGAGCTGTTGTAGAGCTCTGGTGTGGAGCCAACCCCACTGTACGGCATCAGTGCTGGAAATCAGTAGACCCATCAGTTTTGCAAGTGTCATCAGAGAAGAAGACCTGCTCTTTATGGCCGCTTTTGCCATCTCCCTCATTTTCTTTGCCTTTGTCTTGGTTAAAAAGAGGCAACTGTATGTTGTGTCCAGGATGACACCCAGGTGCTCTGACTTTTCTGTTGGCTGCAGAGAACTTTTCTGATGATTGAGCAGGAACCCATATTCCTGGAGGCATTGGATGACTGTTTCTGTATCTAGGCATGACTTGATTGGGGAACTTGATCTGATCAGCAAGTCATCCAGTTAAGGGAGGATATAAATTCCTTGCACAGTAGATCTAGGGAAAACTTCTTTGCTCCTTTTGGGTCTGCCCTTGGCCTCTGGTGTGGAGGAACCTGGCTGTTCTCCTAGGGCAATCTCTTGCAGCTCTACTGCTGCCATGGTCTTGGTTAAGAGGTAATGATAGTCAGATTTAAAGAATCTTATGGACTGTTCTGGAATTTCTATTTCCTTCTCTGAAATTCCCCTTCTTCCCTTTCCTCAGTTTCACTGCCTAGATAAGTGTCTGAGTCCCTCTGAGAGATAACTTTCTCTCTTTTTCTGGTGTAATCATCTTTCCTAGCTGCCTTAGTGGGCCAACTAGATACCCCTATGGAAGGAAGAGTTCCTTCTATATCTCTTAGTCTGGAATGGGAAGGGCTGGTAGAAGGGCTGGAGTGAGATCAATCAATCACATTTATTGTTACAGTCAATGACCAGCGCATTCAAAACATTTGAATAAGATATGAGATAAAACCAACAGTGGCATACCTAAATTTAAAAATCTGTGACTATAACATAGAGATAAAATAAGACAGCCATAACATTTGTATATAATTTAGATAAATTGCCACGCATTTTACGCTCCTTGTAAACTTGGGCACAAAATCTAGCCACTTGTCTTCTTGTCTGATGGTTCCTGTCAGACAGGAGGTAATCAGGTTTAATTTTATTTGATCTGCCGGGAAACCTTTCTAACAGCAGGCTAATAGTCTCCATACGGATCACCCAGTTGAAAAATACGTGTTCTAGAGTGTCTATTTCATGGAGGAGGCAGGAGCCAAACCCTCGCTTCTCAGCCTTTTGGCTAAGATCAAGTGTAGGAGAGATCTATGCCTGTCGTCTCTACCCTGGCAGAAGTAGGAAATCTCCTCCCTCATAGTCTAAGTAAGGCTATAAATTCAGGGGAAGGCATAGACAGTCCAGATCTTTGCATATTACTCACACGTAGACCCAGATCATTTGGGCATGTCATCAAGTTTTAGAAACATAAGAAACACAGAGCTGGAACTCCACAGGTCATCTAGTCCACTCCACGGGTCATCAAGCCCAATGCAGGAAATTCCCAGTTACTTCCCTTCCCTCCCACTTCCCCAGTAACCCCATGTCTTAAAGCGTTAGTATACTGAAATTCAACACAAATTTTAAAATGTACAAAATAATGTTTTCCATTTTTATTGCTACTATTTTATACATCTTCAAAACAAACTGAATATTTTGACTGTAAATATTTAGAAATATCTTCCCACTACAAAATTTATTGCAGTAAAATTGAATTTGTAAAGGCATTCTCCTAAGCACAAAAGTTGATTCAAAAGCTTGTAATTACAAAAAATATATATTAATGAAGTCTCAATTGTCTTTATGCACATGGAGCAGTAATTCTATCTCTAACAGAATGGAATACTGAAAAAGAATGAATAATTTGTAGACTGATGCCTTTTATATCAGAAAGCACATATTCTACCCACTGTTCTGTATACAGCAGTCTCAGGTCCTTATATTTCATCTGTGGTGATATTATAAGCCAATTTCAACACTTTCTCTGAGATCCCTGTGGCTAAGCCAGTCTTGTGAATGTGTTAAAAGAAATAAACAAAATCAAATGTTCAGATATGTTGCCATTCAAGGTACCGTCTCCTTTGTCCTTGACACTGCAACAGAGTGCTGTCTGAAGCTCTTACATTTGGAAGAGGTGACACCCAGTCATGTGCCAGCAACTGAGGCTCCAAAACGGCAGCTGAAGGAAGCTGAGGAATAAGCACTAGAAAAGGATGGAACATCTTGCTGTGAAGGGGCAGCACAAATGTGATTGTGGCTGGAAGCTAGGAACAGAAGTGGACTTGCTAAGAAGTATGAAGAAACTGGGCAAGGGTGCCGTGAGCAGGGAATCCTTATGGACCATAACAAAGGCTGAATGCTGACTTCAGTAGGAACAGAATCAAGAACTTAAATGGTTTCAAAAAAGGACCTCACAGCCAGCTCTACATAAAAATTCACACTGGGTAAAGAACTTGGTGCCTAATTAGTAGGTGTCAAAATTCCCTTCACACTGTGTCCTGCCACTTTGATGTTGCATAGCTTAATGTTATTTCTAATGAAAATGTGAGATATAATGCTTAAAACTGATAATGAGTGGTTGTTCCCCATTTCTTTTACAGACTAATCTGAAAGGTTTCCCATTCTATTTCGATACGAATCAACCAGTGCACATAAAGTGTCACCAAGAAGAATGTATATGAAACACCAAAGATAATCCTTGAGAACACCATTGCCATTGTGTATTTAAGGACTCTCGGGCACAGGCTTGTCCAAAACCCTGGGAATAAATATGTAGTGACCTTGTAAGGCCACAAAACAGCAACTAAAATGAGTAGATGTGCTCACTTCATAGTGGGTGTGCTCTTCCTGAGCTAGTAGGTTTCTGTTGTCAGAAAGTACTGCAGTCTCTCTCAATAATTATGGGCACAGCATTTGTTTTCCATGCTGATAAATTAATTAACTCGCACAGAGCAAACAGTAATGCATTTTTCCTGATAAGCTGGCCTTCTTTGGTGTACTTCAGGACTGATGATTGATCTGCTTCTTCAGAGCCCTTTGACTTCTGAGATTTACACAATCTTTTAAAATGAAGAATCTCTGCTCAGAATCAGACCGTAGTGCAGTACAAGTAAGCCATCCTAGAAAATGGAAAAGAAACCACGCTGTTACAAGAGTCTCTCTCCTTTTCATAAAAAGCCATTCTTTGGCTCTATGCACACAACCCCTCTGCACACTGACTGAACACATGGAGAGGAACAGTTGGCATGAGCGTGCTTCCCCCCCCCCCCCGGGCCCCCCCCCGGGCGCTTGTGAGCATGGCGTCCACACAAGGAGAAAATGTTTGTGCATATGTTCCCCATGATGGGCAATGTTTAGAATGCAATGTCCTTGGTCACTCAGAGGGAGCATATGACAGATGCTTCCCTCTATGCATTCATGCTGTGCATATGACCCAGCAATTGCATGGAGGCAGGGCCACTGTCCCTCCCTGTACATTCGGTCAATGCATGGAGGAATAATGTATAGAGGGGTTTTGTTGTGAAGTATAGGACTCAAGATCTCCCAATTCAGTTGCATTATTCTCCCTGCAGTGCAAGGATCATGTGAGAGAGAGAGTACTGGGCAACAGTAGTGGAAATCATGTCTGAACTGACCACTAGAGTGTATTGTTCTGTTTGTTTAAAAACAGGATTACACACTCTGTAACCCACAGGTCGGTGGAGTGGCACTCCACTATATACTCATCAGTTTTTGAAGCCGCATTCTCCCTGGCCTTTTTCAGGGCATTTAGGTTGACTGAACTGTTAGACAAGTCCCATCAGGATTGCTTGGGTGGGCACTGAGTTTGGCTGATGTCACACTACACAGGCACGGCACTCACCTGTTACTTAGAAGGTCACAAATGGATCAGCAATGGTGTGGGGCAAAGGTCCACCTTCATGGGGTCTCTGGCATCTCGCCCTTGCCTTGTGAGATCTGTAACGGCCTTCATGGCCATCTGCCTGCAGCACTCAGGTACCCTGCTCATCCACTCTGACCAGTTCCCCCTAAAGTGGTATAAATTTGTGATGGTACTAATGGCTTGTCTGGCAGTGCTTGGCCTCCCACCAGATGACTTTGGGGGGCACTCTTTCAGGATCAAGGCTGCCACTGTGTTAGAAGAGCTTGGCTTCCCCAAATCATGCATATGAGCCCAGCAGGTGGCAGTCTTCTGTGGTTTGCACGTACATCCAACCAGGTCTGTTGTCTAACCTGTTGCAGAGTTCTGCCTCAGGTCCATCTGTATCTGTGGCCACAGCATTGTGTACTGGGCCAGGAGATACACTGTGTCAACCAGGTGGGGGACACATGCTGGCCTGGAGGGTTTCTGGCACATCTCTTGGATTGGACATTGCGGTATGTAGTGGAGTGAGCCGGTACCAGCTATCCCTCATCAAGTAAAGCATTGCGGTCCTCCAGATGCTATCATCATTCATCACGGAGAGAATGCCGTCACCTCCCACAAGAGCCTGGACCTGACCCTTGCGATACAGGCTGACCCAGGCACCCTACACACCCAAATTCCCACCACATTGTTCTTCTGGTCTGACCTGCTAGAGAGGCATACCTTGGTGAGGTGCTAAAACCCTGAAAAGGTTGCCATGTCCAGGAAAAAGGTCACCAATGCTGGGGGCAACTTTGTGATTGCAGCAGGAGGCCAGACAATGCAGCATCCAGACATCTCATGTAGGCAGGGGGCTATCTTCAGGATGACAGGTGTACACTTCTTGGAATGGGGCAGGATATCTGACTACATGGTTTATGGGGAGGTCTTTGGAAGTGGTTGCAGCTGCGGCAGCTTTGGTGGGAGGTGGGTAAATCAAAGCACCTGCCTTTAGTGGCGGTTTTGCCACTGTGCTGGATCCCTTTTTGGGGGGAAATTGGGCCTGTGTGTCCTTCATCCCAGCTGAGGATCCTATTAAGGGGTGTTGGGGGTGGAGGCTTAGGGAGGTACACCCAGCTTGTGGGCTGCCAAGTGTTCCTTGCCCCCAAGTAGCAGGAAGATCACACAGTGGCCTGAACTGAGGCATTTCCCATTGGCTGCCATCCCAGGTCCCTTCCCTTCAGCAGGTGGGCTGAAATATGGGTTTCCCACTGGGTGGCAGGTGGGTTGCTCGATGCCTGAGATCCAACATCCACTGCTAAGCCAAACTTCTACAGCTGTAATCAATAAAGTTGTGGCCTGTTATACCCACGTAAAGCATTTGTCTCTGTTCTCTGCCCAGCATGTGGTCACCCATTCACTGCTGGGGCCACCAAAGGCAAATGTGGTTTAAGGCCATCAGGGAGCTGGATGTATACTGGGCAGGTGAATCAGACTGAAGACTGGCCCACTGAGGTCTGCCTGCCTGACCCTGCCCGAGACCAAACCTGGCCAAGCTCTCTGACTGGCTGGCCGGAGAAGAGAGCCACACAGGGGCCTTTGGTAGCCGCACAGGGCCCTGGGAGGCACCAATGTGCTCCACAAAGATGGTACCCAGTTCGGTGAGCTACTCACTCCACAGGTCACAAATCATGGTAAGTCAGGAACCTGTTCTTATGTCTGCAAACTTTCTATTCAAAACTCATCCAGGTCTCCAAATGATGCTGTGACCCAAGCAGATCATCAGTACTTTAAACTGTAATTCCATACTCACACCTTCCCCAGACAGACCTAACGAACAGGAGATGAGAGGGCTGTCAAAGTTGATGGTGCTAAATGCATGTTCAGCCAAACTGATTCTTGTCCACAGTACCATGAATTCAGCCTGCTGTATCACAAATCTATGGATCACAGAACAGGCACTAAAGCTATTAGAACCAGTGCATTCCTCCCCTCTCCTCAACCCCATGTGAGACTTGTGAATTAATGAATTTCTGCATAAATTATCTGGGATTACAGGAGCTAAATTCAAGTCCAGTAGCAGCTTAGAGACCAACATTTTTTTCAGGATATAAGCTTATCCGATGAAGTGAGCTTTGACTCTTGAAAGCTTATACCCAAAAAATGTCATTGTTTTTTAAGGCACTAGCAGACTTGAATCTAGCTGTCCTACTGCACACCAAGATGGGTGCCTTCTGAAACTGGAATTAGGGGTCAGCAGTGCAGTGGCCAAGGATCTGGATAGTAGTAGAAGAAGAAGAGATTGGATTTATACCCCGCCCTTCACTACCCAAAGGTGTCTCAGAGCTGCTTACAAACTCCTTTCCCTTCCCCTCCCCACAACAGACACCCTGTGAGGTGGGTGGGGCTGAGAGAACTCTGGCACAAACTGTTCTTTTTCAAGGAGAGCTGTGCCAGAGCTTGTGACTGACCCAAGGTCACATCAGCAGGTGCAAGTGGAGGAGTGGGGAATCAAACCCGGTTCTCCCAGATTAGAGTCCACACACTTAACCACTACACTTAACCACTACACCAAACTGGCTCGGTTTGTTCGGTTGAATTATTTGTTCGGTTGAAACCCAAGGCAGATTGTAAAAGCTCCATGAGGATCACTCTCAACTGGGTGAATGGGAAACAATGTGGCAAATAATGTTCAATGTAGGCAAGTGTAAGGTGATGCACACTGCAACATAAAATCCTGCCTTTAAATATATACTGATGGATCTGAGCTGGTCGAGGTTGAGAAGGAAAGAGATCTGGGCACTGCAGTGGATAGCCTGATGAAAATATCAACTCAAGTGTGTTGTAGCAGTGAAAAAGGCAAATTCCATGATGGGAATTATTAGAAAAGGAATTGAAAATAAGGTGGCCAATACTGTTATACAGATCTGTGGTACATCTTTGTTTGAACTACTGTATATAGTTCTGGCAGCCATGTCTTTAAAAAGATATTGTAGAGAGGGAATAAATGCAAAAGATGACAACCAAGATGATCGAGGGATTGGAAATATGGTCCTGTGAGGAATGGCTTAACTGTCTAAGGCATTTCAATTAAAAAAAAGGGGGGAACATTAACCAAAACACATTTAGATACAGAGTTATTAACCACAGTGGCTACAGGGAACCTCTGCATTCAGAGCCCATCTATATATCTAATTCTCAAGTCGCCCCCTGGTGTGCGGATACTTAAATCCGCACATCAGGGGGACCTGGGGGGGAGGGAGAGGTTTGTGCGCACGTGGGGCGGTCCCCACGTGTGCACAAAAATTCTAAATCTGGAAAACAACATCGGGGGGATGTTTAAATCCCCCTGAAACTCACAGAGCGTCCCCTGCGCATGCGCAGAAAACGCTCTGAAACCACCGCTGCCGCTTGGAAGGTGAGCGGCGAGCCGGGGGGGGGCCCTTCCCCCTCCCGCGAGTATCGCGGGTCCACCCCTTGTAAATCCCTAAATAGCAAGTCAGGATTAGGATGCGAGGCAACACTGAGGAGAAAGGGGGTCTTGGCATCTGTGCCCTATCTGTTGGCCCTCAAGAGCAATTTGCTGCCTACTGTGTAAAGCCAGTTGCTGGACTTGTCATTACAACTGAAATAGGCCATCTGCAGTTAAAGCAGTATATTAAAATAATGTAACACTGTTTTTTAATTCTCTATTTATAGGGTGTTTTTTTGGCAGCTCTATCTAAAAAAAATTAACAGTAAATAAAAACCCAATCTGGACTTAACTACCTTCTTTTCTTCTTAGAAATATGCACTAAAACTGGGGATAACCAGTACTCATTTGTACAGCCTAGCATGTTTAAGTATTTAGCTGTGGGCACCTAAATACTTTTAATTCTAGTATGTTTTGCTTCCCCCCTCAAATACAACTTTGAGATGTAAAAATATGATAGAAATATAAGGAAGAATGAGAGACTGAGAAGCTGGCATTCTAAGGAATCTGAAACACAGCCAAAGCAGGTACAAATGTATGTTTAGCACACCAATGCATGGCTCTTAGCAGTTCTTACCATGCTGTAAAGAGCTGGACTCAGATATTAACATTACATTTAATTAGGTTTTTTACTGTAGTAGCTATTCAAACTTAACTGTCACTGTGAAACTTCCCTAGCAACATACAGGATATCGTTATGCAAGGCGGCCAGCTACCAAAGCTTCACTAGCAGATACTGATTTTTTTTGTTTTGTTATATAGGACACTTTTGGTAAAAGCCTCGTTTTCCCTCACAGCCTTGGCATCAACTTACCTGCACTGCACTCTCTCCTAGAGCTTGTCGGATTTCCCTTAAAGTCTGGTAGTGTTCCAGCAGATGATCTCCACATATTATATCTACCTAGAAATAAACAAAACAAAGGAGGAGTGGGGTCATAGTATCTCTTTATATACAACAAGCTAGACTGCCAAATTCTTCCTCAATTACCACGATTAAGGAGGGTATACATATACAATTCATCCTCTCCCACCAAGTTCTTTCCAGAGTTGTTCCCTAGGATTTCAAAACTGCTTTTAAACACTGCTGAGCTAAAAAAAAATATTTTGATGATTTCATGAGACAGTACTTCAAAAGAGAATGTATGGCCTATTATCAAGAAAAGATTGTCTACAGGAGCTATGTGAGTAACGTGATAAATATGTTGTGCATACTCCAGAGCAGAATAAACCCTTCTGAAAAGGCACGTCCTTCCCCCACATTTCATAATACCTATCATTTATTTTAATTGTAGACCTCCATTTCTAGCTTATTAACCTTGATGAAAAATATATGCTTATGTGTGAGTCTATAACTGCAGACTTATGCTTTGGTTAAAAACTCATCAGTTTATACTTGCCAGTGTACAGGAAGACAAATACTTTCTAAAATTCATGTTTAAAGCAAATATACTTTTCAGCACTGGTGGGGTTAAAATTGTTGACATGGGCAGCTGTCTCAGTCCAAGCAACATCTTAATTAAATAATACAAGAGCTATTAGCTCTGGAGTGCCAATTCTCTGTGGGACACTGTGCTCATGTTATTGCAATTTGCAATCTGTGTATCATCCGACACTAACAAATCCCAAAGGCACTGATTATTGGCAACTGTTTGGATGCATCTTTAGAACCTTCAGAGGACCACACACAACCTTCATGCAAGAACTACATGTAACTATTGCATAACATTACATAAGCTGTCAGTATTACTAGCAGATGCATCTCAGAAACACAGGATCACTAATTCGTGTCCTTTGCTGCAGTAAAGCTACCCTAGCTTACAGATATGGAAGTTTAGTACCTAGATAAGAAGTATGAACTCTAGTATCAGAGAACCTCTTCCATACTGATCCATTTCCTTGGGAACCCTCTGTGCCACAAAAACCTTGTGCACCACAGAGGATTCTGGGTGGATATGATGTTCTCAAATCATTCAGAGAATCAGTGAGGACTTTATGGGACTACATACTACCAAGGAATACATGCCATGGAACACACCCAACATTTCCATGTAGTTCCAGGGGATAACTGGCAGTAGCAGATGTTGTCTTTTGGGTAATAATTTCACCACTGAACCCTTGACAATAACTTCTTCAGAAGCCATTTTGAAAACAGGCAACTGTTTTCCTTCCTAGGATTTGTCCCTCTGATTAGTCTCTGGTGCTATTACAATTTGGATAAAGATTTATCCTGACCAATGGGATGCAGGCTGGACCCAAGTTTTTGAAATAGGACCACTCCTTTTCTTTGCTCACCATATAACTTCTTCCAAAGCAGTAAATATAAGGAAGCAATAATTTGAACTCAAATAGTTTAGACACAAAACACCTCAACAATGGTCTGTTGCTCATCAAGTCTCATCCACTAGGGAGAGCTTCCGGTACGGCGCGTTGACGGGCGGGGGTGCGAGCGTTTGCTCCAAGCCCGTCCGACCTACTTTCGCTTCGTACGAGCCTCCCGATATTCGGGTGAGCTCGTCCAGCACCCCCGTAGAGGGAGCTGGTGCAGGGGGCGTTTTTTCTGGCCCCTCCCACATTCGGCAAGCGGGGGGGTGACCAGGATAAGCCCCAAAGCAGGAGCGACTGATTAGGAAGAACATGGCCGCCATGTTCTTACTAAACGCGACCATCCGCTTTGTTTTTAATGTCTAAACACGCATACGGATTACAATAGCAGAAACATAGCAAAACATAAAGGAATGAGAGCTTGGAAGAGATGGAAGAGAAGGAGCCCCCCCAAAGTAAAGGTGTCCAAAACCGACAAGGAACGCGGCCGAGAAAGAAACGCCTTACTCGCAAGGTTCTTTTTTCGCTTACTATGGCGGAGGGGGGGAAGAGCTATGAAAAACAGTATTGTGTTGGTTCTATGTATTGGCTAGAGGAAAGTAGACTGTAAAAGTGGGAATTTGAAGAAAAGGGACTGGAAATATGTTTAATATGGAATACACAATGAGAGACAAGGAGGAGTTGAAGTTGGAGGAAAACATGGAAACTGACCAGTTGAATACTGATCAACTCCTCAAAGCTTTGAAGGAGGTAGTGCAGAAAAGCTGTAAAGAAGCATGCAAGGAAATAATGGGGAAATTGAACAATTTGGAGAAAGAAATCGGAAATAGGAAAATAGGAAAAGAAGATGATCAGGAACAAAACATCATTAAAGAGGCTCCTGAGGAAGAGCAAAAAGAATGTAGAGATACTACTAAAGAAGAAAACTTGGGGAAAATACGAGTGGTGGACTGTATGGAGAATAATTATTTGGTATTGGGAAGAGCAAAGGAGAGACAAAGTAAAAAACTACTTGGAGCCAAATTGAGACCGTTAAAAAAACTGTCAAAAGGAAATAAACAGCGGTCAAAAACGGGAAACAAAGGGGAGGAAAGGATTAAAAGAAGTATGCGTTGGGAGTGGAAAAGTAAAGGAGACAGTAATTTATGGAAGAAGAAATGGCTGAATAACAGAGAGAAGAGACATGGGGTCCAAGGAGTTTGTAAAGAGCGAAGGCACGTAGAAAGATTGAGATTGAAGAGTAGAGCACAAATGCGGAAGGAGAAAAACAAACTATATAAAAAAATAGAAAGACCGACCTTTATCAGATGAAGGACCAACTGGAAAATGACCTATAAACTTTATTACTTTTGAATTCAAATATTGCTTTATCTCTTGAATGTATTTAATATATTTATTTAAATAATGTTAATAGTGTTGATTAGATCACAATGGGGTGTTTGAAAAGGGTTAATCTAAATTTAAGATGGTTGAAGTTATTGGATGATTAGGATTGAATTAATTAATTGGGGAAATAAATCTATATGAGCGACAAGTTTTTGATAATGACGTTTGAATAATAATAGTAACATGGAAAGCTAAAATGAATTATAAGGTTTTTTTTCTTTAATTGGTAGAGATGATTAATTAGCTGAAATAAGTGATTAATTTAATGTATGAATGTATTGGAAGAACTAGGACTGAAAACTAATTCACTAATTAACTGATATGGTTTATATTGATAATGAATTTTGAAAACTGTCTTAATAAGAATTGGTAAGCAGAAGGAGTAAATGTGTATAGAGATACAGAGATATAGGAAAGTTGGTGGTTGTGCCATGAATAGGATGGGTACGTTGTGGATAACAAATGGATGTGATTGCGAGGGAGTCAGATTAGTCTCAGGTGGAAATTTAGTAGTTGTTGAATTGAGGCAGCAGAGTAGACTTGAAATTGGAAGGGGATAAAAGTATATATATATATACACACACACACACACACACACACACACACATATTAAAATGCTAAACCAATTTAATGAAGGAACCAATAGGATACTGAAGGAATGGGCAGATTTAAGCATTAAGCCAGAATAATGTCTTTCATCTTTGATACGTTATGAAGTGTGAGTAGAGTGTTGAAAAGACAATAGGAGAACTATAAAGGCAAGAGATCTAGTAGTTTCTAATTAATATTGTTATACCCAATGAGATATGAAAGCAAAAGTCAAATAAGAGTAAATGTTTTTTATTAGTTGGGTAAAGGGTATGTTACCCTGTGTGGCTGTGAATGTAAAGCAATGCCTAGATATTTTGAAGTAATCTTGTTGTTGAATTTGTATGTTTGTCTTTACATCATAGAAAACTCAATAAATATATTGCATAAAAGTCTCATCCACTAGGAGGCCATGTTCCTCCCTTGTAATCAGTAGTAGTAATGTTTAGAATACTCATTAGGGGTGTGCGCTCAGTGTAAACCAAATTTTAAAATCCTTTGATAAATTCCGATAAGGCATTTATCGGGTATTTTCTTAGTTGATCACCAAGGGGGCTAGTGATTCAGCTATCCGAAAATGGATGCCCTGAAAAACTCCAAAAATATTCAGGATTTTTGGGGCAGCCAGACAGCTGTGGTTACAGGGCATTTAAAGGGTTCCCAGGCTCTTTAAATGCTTTCAGAGTGAATTCTCAGCAAGGCATTTGAAGTTCAAATTCTCTTCTCCTGCAATAAAGTTCAAATGCCTTCAGAGTTCACTTGTGCCGTGGCTCCCCCCCTCCACTGGAAACAATGGAGGATGGGGGTGCCTTCTTCTGGGGCCCACAGAATTGGACCCCCTGGTCCAATCTTTTTGAAACTTTTTGGGGGAGTTGAGAAGAGGCACCAGCAGCTATGATGCAAATTTGGTGCCTCTACCTAAAAAAACAGCCCCTCAGAACCCCAGTTACCTCCAGATCGATTCTCCATTATAGCCTATATGGGCCATTGACTATAATGGTCCCCACAGGGTATAATGAAGCTGAAAAATTCGACAATCCTGAATATTTCTCGAATCCCAATACCATACCAATACTAGGATTTGGGAATATTGGGAAATACCAATATTTTTCGGGTTCAGTATACCTGAACCTGAAAAATACCAATCTTTTTGGTGCACACCCCTAATAGTCATCACCTACCACCACTATATGTGTGACACAAAATATGCAACAGATACAAGGTAAAAAAATCCACAATTGCCATTCAAGCAAAAAATGAAGAACTTGTTTGTTCAGACTTGAGAGGGCTGGCATGGCACTAGAGACAAGTCTGAGGGAAACAACTAGCAGGTTCGAGTCCTGTTGTTCCAGTTGTGTCATGCAATTCCATGCTGGGTCACCTCTCCTGGGTGAGACAAATTCATACACACACAGAGTTGTTCTCCTGATCAGAACCCAAATGATCATTCAACAGAACTGTGAAGCACCCTATGGCCAAAGGTTGCTTCTGTTGATAAGAAAATCTGAGGTCTACAGAGTCAAGTAAAAGTGCAAACAAAAAGCCAACAGGCTGTCTTACACATTTCCAGAAAACGTTGGACTATGAAGACCAGGAGGCCCTAGG